ATTATATTTATATACTTATAACTATTTATATTGAAATTACTGATTATTATTTAATAATGAACTATATTTAAACACGAGTATAAAGACATTGTCATTCAAATTCTTATTCAAGATCTAAATGTATAAGAGTTTTTAGAAATCTGGTATTGTAAGCATTAATTAAGAGTCTAAAGTAAATAAATATAGATTTAAGATACTTTACATGATGTTTTATGTACAAGGATAAGAGTGTTTCAAAAATTATTAGAGTGGCTCTGATAATCATATGAATTTCATTTTGGGAAATGCGATGATCGATAATACGAAGATATCAGCTTTTGATACAGACAATTAAATTTTGATAGTTTCTTTTGAAGTCAAATAATAAAATTCGGAAGATACTGATATTTATATCATGTCTTACGATCTCTAATAGAATAAAGCATTATGGACTTTTAAGAAACAAGATGATAATATCATAGAATCAATCAAGATAAATTCACCAAGCTTATCTATCATCATTTTCGACTAAAATAAGATCTTTCTTTACTTAGAAAAGTAAACTGGCATGTTTAAAGCTTAATTTTAGATTACTTATGAATGGCTTTATGACCCATTTATAATGATATATGACAAGAATGGAAATGGATACCTAGCATCAAATGGAAATGATGGTAAAAAAACATTTCTTCATATTCTTGCTTTTAATGCATTAACTCTCTCATAAACAGAATTATAAAATATCGCTGGACAGAAAGAAAATCAACTACAAAGTATATGTATTAGTGATGATGATAAATATGCTTATATGAGTATCTCGGCTGTTTATAATTAAAGTGGTGATCCATATAGAATAGCTATACTAAGAGTATCAACCCAAAATAATTAAGACTTTATGATTTTTCAATAATAAGCTTTTGCTCCAAATCATTGAGATTAAAGGCTATTAATTTACGCTTTGAGTGCAAGTTTTGATTATTGTGTAGGTATGATGTCTCATCAATCTTATTCAGATGGATAAATAATTGGTCTTACTGTATTAAATCTTAATTAAACAGAAAAGTTCACTCTTTATTATCAAGGCACATTCCTGTACAAGTAGATTATAATATTATCATCAATAGTGACAAATAAGGTAACTGTAACATTTTTTCTAAGAGTTTGTCTGCCAGATTAAGATACATTTAATTTGTACATTGCCACAGTTGAAGATTTTTTGACAAATCCAAAGTAAATGAAGTTCAGAGGAATATAAGCTTATCCTTATATATATTCTGATTATCGATCCGTAGTAAATAAAAGCAATGGAAAATACTATATGCATGGTTTGGTCTATCAAGAAAATGGCATTTTCCCTCAAGGATTTATTAACGAATATAAAGTTGACCCCTCCTGTAATTATTAATAACCGTTCTTAGAAAGCGCAACATTTAGCCTCGTTGAGTTGAATTTAGATCTAAGTAAAGAAACAAATTTTTACTTTGAACTCCAGGTTTTAATAACCTAATAGTCAGTGGGTTCAATTACTAGAATCATCAATACTAAAGTTTAATCACTATTTCTAGACATCTCATCCTTCAAAAATGTGTTTAACAATAAAAAACCTTGCCAATTTTAATTTTAAGGATTGAGCTAATATGTAGAAACTCCTCCATCTATAATTGAACCTTTGAAATGCTTCACAGGTATTAACTGTGAGTAATTTCTGGGTATATATCAGTTAAAAATGCCATGTAAAAATTCAAACTCTACTTTAGTAATGAATTTTTTCAATAAAGAGAAAAATGGGTTGTGGTATCATGAGCAGAAAACCTTCTCTTAATCTAGCATAGTCACTTTAGTAAAAATGAAATTTAATGAAAGTTCTCAGCATTAATAGGAAAATGGAATATAGTATGAATATTAAAATATAGTAACTCTAGGGTCATAGGAAGATCTTATTATTAGTTCAAGCTTTAAATTGATGATTTAAGTATACTGGCCTTGTGAAATAGCAAAGGTTAACTCTAGTAAACCTTAGAATATATACTTTTAATGAAATAGTGGATTCATGGATGCAGAATTGAATTTGTTCGAGTTTTTATATGATAATAATTGCTTTGATTACGAGATAGTCAATGTTTATTAGGATGAAAAGCTGCTTAATGAATTAGAAGAGAGTAATTATAGGTAGTGGGCCTAGATATCAGATAAAAGAAAAAATATCATATCTATAAATACCTCTGAAAATCTACCTAATGTAAAATACATAATTAGCATAAGTGTGTTTAGCAGTGATAGTACTTCAGATAATCCTTGAGGGATAGAATAGCTTAATCTTTACTTTGATCCTGAAAGAGAAGTCGATTCTCCTCCATATTTTGTCTCGTTTATTCCTAAGATTATCACTGCACCTGATGAAGTAATTATGTTTAAGCTATCCTAAATAAGGGACA